AGCCAGGGGGACAGGGTGAAGTGACTTGCCCAGAGTCACACAACTAGTAAGGGTCTGAGGCCAAATTCGAACTGAGAAGATGAGTCTTCCTAGCCCCAGCTCAGCCATTCGATTTACTGTGCCACCTAACTGCCCTTGGCTTTGGGAATTCAGAGGTTCCTAATGCCCTTGAGATTTACATGAAGTGGAAGATGGAAAACAAATGTCTTTCATGAATTTTTCAGAAACTTATACTGCAGTGCTGAAAGATTATCCTTACCTGGCCCGACCAATCCCCCCCTTTTTTTTTGGGGGGGGGGGCTTCTCCTTCAAATTACATTCTATTTTACTTATATATACAGCTGCTGTATTTCTGCTGTATTTCTACTAGGACATCATAAGCTCCTTTGAGTCAGTACTATGCTGGCACTTAGTGTAGTGTCATATAAACATATGTTTGTGTGTCTATGTATGTATATATGTATACATATATGCAGACACATGTATACACCCATATGCATATAGACAAATGTGTGTGTGTGTGTGTGTGTGTGTGTATCAGAGGAAGAATGAGAGTGAAAGTGAGAGAGTATTCTGTGGTCAGGGAAGACTAGCACCTCCGGTGTGGGGGCTTGCTGAGCCCTTTTCTGGCCTGCTCACCTACCTTTGAGTTCTACCTGACACTCAACTCTCACCTGTGGCTCCAAGAAGCTATAACATGAGCAGTAGCCACACTTCAATAAACCGTTTTGGTGGCTGGGCTAAACCAGGCTGAGGGTGACTGACAGGACTCAAACCCATAGGTAAGTTAGGGGGATGTCTATCCCAAGCATGGGAGGACTTCCCCTGAGGGGAGAACAACTTGCTCCAAGGATCGTGAAGTAGGCTACGGAGTACTTAGAGCTTAGTGAGACGTCAATGATGCCAAGGTCATCCCCTGCATCCTAAACCATTGCCAGTGGTCTTGACTTTTGTCTTTTCACTGGGCTCCAATGACTCGAAGAGAAAGTGAGGCTGATAATTCTGTGCAACTCTGCTTCATTTAAATCCATTTCACACACGAGTCAGGACATCATCCACGATGTCATTGCTTCTCTAAGGACAAACAACAACTAGATATAGATATAAATGAAATTTATGGTTTAGGTTCCTTGGAGCACTTGGCAATTTTCAAAGGTCACACAACCAGTGGATTTGAGAGGTAGGACTTACTTGACCTTGAGTCAGCCTCACAGTGAGGTTAGTGGCTGTTAATCTAGATCCATCAGCCCATGATGCTTTTCATATGTATCTTGTCTGTAAGAAATGGTTTATAGATGTTTGAATTGAAGGTGAGGAGTGAGGAAGTGGTTGGTAACTGGGGACGGTCAGTCTAAAATAATCTTTCTAGAAGTTTAATGGTGAAGGTGAGCCAGTTTAATAGCTTAAAGGATGAAAAGGTAGAAAGGAAGGTCAAAAATCGAAGGAGTTAGTCTAGTATTAAGAACGGATGGCAGGCTTTAGAGTTAGGGAAGCTGGCTTCGGGGCCCATTCTACTCCTTTCCTATCTGCAGGACCTTAAGCAAATCGTTTAATTTCTTAGGTTGAGAGATTTTGTTTAAAGGAGAGGAGCTTTGTCTATGTTTTCAAACAGAAGGATTTGAACTACTCAAATTCTGCTTTTCTTATGTTTGCTTTTCCAAGGGCAATAATCTCTGTGTTGGGAAGGAATAAATGAAAATGGATATCAGGGAGTGGAAACACCAGATAACCGAGATTTTCTCAGTCCTCATCCTTTTGCAATGTTATGTGTCTCTGCTGATCTCCCTTTCCTTGCTATTCTTTTATTTATAGCTTTTCGGGACACCACTACTCTGTCCTGTTTCTCTGACTACCTGTTTGACATCTTCTCTGGCTCCTTTGCTATATCTCAATCCACATCATATCCCCTAAGCCTAGGCTTCCCCAAGGTCTGTCTTAGGACCACTTTCCTTCTACTTCTACATTGCTTTACTTGGTTTACTTTACTTTACTCATACTTTACTCATCCAATTTATCCTGTATGCATCTTGTTTGTAAGTAGTTGATTGTATGTTTTCTTTCCTATTAGAATGTGAACTTCTTGACAATAGAGACTTTTTCTTTTTGCCTTAGTGCTTAGCACGTTGTCCAGGTATACAGTAGGTGCTTAATAAATGATTGTTGGTTGAGACCCTTCCTATCTTACTACCTGCAGTGAATTCAAGTCAGCAAACCGAAAAGATTTAGTTGGCCAAGTCAATTGCTCAGCCAGTGAAAGAATCTTTGAAAAGTCTCAGAGAAGGAGCAAGGAGCTATAAAGCTAAAGTTGCCTTGATTAAAAAAAAAAAGGAGGCAGGTAGAGTCTGTAGATAAGTGAGCCCTATTTCTAATCAAATTCTAGGACAATGTATTAAGGAATGAGTACTTACAGAAAAAGTGATCACTAAAAGATAGCAGGGCACTATTAAAAAATGTATTTAATTCCATTGCACTGAGATTTCCTCTTCTGAGAGAGTAACTCAATAGGTAGATCAATGGAATATGATATGGGTGACTATTCTGTGCAGCTGCTCAGTGAGCTACTCAGCTTGGAGGGTTGGCACTGTGCTAGTTAACCTTTGTTTTTAATAACTTGGATAAGAGATTATATTGTGTGGGTTAGAAATTAGAAGATGACACGAAGCTTGGTGTCAAATAGGATGACAGAATCCACATCCATAAGAATCTGATTGGGTGAGAATAATACGACAAAGGAAATAGTCAAAGTTAATAGTAATAAATGTAAAATGACAATGAGATAAAAAAAATAACTTCACCAATGCAAAATGGGAGAAGTGTGGAAGGAAGTAGAGGCAACAGCTCTTGTGGAAAATATCTAGGGTTTTGAGTGGACTGCAACATCAATATGTTAATAGTATGACCTAACATTGTATGTCATAGTGTATAGAATGAGGGAGATGGTTGTCCTGCTTTATTCTGACCTAGTCAAGCCATATCTTGAGGACTGTGAATGATTTTAAGCCTCACATTTTAGGAGAGACAAGAGAACTGTATTATGTCTGTGAGAGGATGACTAGGACTGTGAGAAGGCTAGAGAATATTTTATTTTAAATGTCCCTTTATTTAAAGGCAATATGGCACAGTGCAGTTTGTGTTCAAATTTTATCTTCCTTACTACCTGTCTGGCCTTTTTTTTTCTGTTTGTAAGTACATACATAATAGTTCTTTGTTTAAAAAAATATATTTTTTGGGGGACAGCTAGGTGGCTCAGTGGATAGAGCACTGGCCCTGGATTCAGGAGGATCCCCATTCAAATCTGGCCTCAGACACATAACACTTACTAGCTGTGTGACCCTGGGCAAGTCACTTAACCCCACTGCCCTAAAAAAAAATTTGTTTTTAACATTAATTTTTTAAATCTATTTCTGATTTCTCTCCTTCTATGCCATCCCTCCCCACCCATTGTGAAGGCAATAAATGAGATATCAATTATACATGTAAAATCACACGAAACATATTTCCATTTTAGCCATATTGCAAAAAAGCAAGAAAAATAAAGTGAAAAATTTATCTTCAATCTACATTCAGACTCCATCGTATCTTTCTTTGGAGTTAGATAGCGTTTTTCATCATGAGTCCTTTGGAGGTGTCTTGGATGATTGTATTGCTGAGAGTACCCAAGTTATTCACAGTTGATCGTCGTACAATTTTACAGTGCACAGTGTCATCCTGATTCTGCTCACTTTGCATCAGTTCATATAAGTCTACTCGTGTTTTTCTGAAACCATTTCTTATAGCACAAAAGAATTCCTTCACAATCATATGCCACAACTTGTTCAGCCATTCCCCAATTGATGGGTATCCTCTCAATTTCCAATTCTTTGTCACCACAAAAAAAGCTGCTGTAAATATTTTTGCATATATATAGGTCTTTTGCCTTTTTCTTTGATGTCTTTGAGATATAGACTTAATATTGATATTGCTGGGTCAAAGGGTATTCACAGTTTTAGAGCTCTTTGGGCATAGTTCAGAATTGCTCTCCAGAATGGTTAGATCAGTTCACAACTCCATCAACAATGCATTAGTGTCTCAATTTCCCCACACCACCTCCCAACATCTATTATTTTCCTTTTCTGTCTTATTTGCTAATCTGATAGGTGTGAAGTGGTATCTCAGAGCTGTTTTAATTTGCATTTCTCTGATCAGTAGTGATTTACACTACAACTCTTCTTAAACTGTGGGTTGCAACCCCACGTGAAGTCACAAAAAATTTGGCAACAGTAAAAGGTTTCTGAAGGCACAGCAACCAAAAAATTAATTCAAAATCAAACTGTAATGAATCCAAGTTGTTTCTGGCATTGGTTGGCCCTACTGCATCATGCAACTTCTCTGCAGCCTTGGTTCTGAACACAAAGCATGTGCACTTTGCACCATTCATGCCCTAAAGCTATGCAATGCTGACTAATGTTGCCTAAACATGAAAAGGAATTGCAAGTGGAAAAAGTTTAAGAAGCCCTGATTTAAAGCATTTTTCCATGTGACTATTGAGAGCTTTGATTTCTTCTTCTGAAAACTGCCTGCTCTTGCCTATGCGGTCTTGAGCAAGTCATTTTATACTCTCTAGGCTTTAGCTACTTCATATGTAAAATGAGGAAGTCAGTCTAGATGACTCAGAATGCCTCTTCTAGCTCCCAATCTTCTGTGGAGGGTGGTGAGACTTCACTGTGAAACTTTTTTTCTGAAGCAGTAGAATTTGTTTAAAGGTAGCTAGATACACATGTTTAATAAAGAGACAGAACTGGAGGGAATGGTGCATACCAGGACTCAGAAGTAGCAGTACTGAAAGTTCACCTTCATGACCTCCAAAGAGATGAAGATCTCAGTAGGGAAACACTGAACATTAAAACTGTTGAAATAAGAAAGGCCAGTCCTTCAAAGGTCAGAATCCTACATGTCAAAGAGCTGGAGTATCATGACAATGCTCTCTTTACTAACCGTTCTTTTCCTTTCCTTTCTTTAAGCAATGATGTGTGAGGTCATGCCCACGATAAACGAGGACACCCCAATGAGTCAAAGGGGGTCCCAGAGTAGTGGCTCGGACTCAGATTCCCATTTTGAGCAGCTGATGGTGAATATGTTAGATGAAAGGGATCGGCTTCTAGAAACCCTTCGTGAGACACAGGAAAGCTTGTCACTTGCACAGCAGAGACTTCAGGACGTCATCTATGATAGAGATTCACTCCAGCGGCAGCTTAATTCAGCCATTCCACAGGTAAGTTTCTGGCATGCTCTGATCACACTCCAGTCGATATTGAAACAAGACTTATATTAGTCCCTTTGTTATGAATGTGTTTTTTTTTTTATTCCTGCCATTCATTTTAACTTCTGTGATTTTTTTTTTTGGGGGGGGGTTGCCGATGTTTGTTGAGAAAGAAACAGCAGAGGGGAAATCTACATAATTTATTAAAATAAATTGAATAGAAAAGAGGTAAAATGTTATATACAGAGTACAAAATGTCAACTATAGAAGTGCAGAATTGGGAATATATCATAAAATTATGTTAAAAAGACCTTGGTCTTTAGTGGACTACAAGCTTCTAAGTTAGTGGCATGGTAGTATTCCCAATCAAGATTTATGTAATTTTAGATTGTATTAAGAGAAACTTAACAATCCCCAGAACTATGGAAATGACAGTTCCACTATACTCTGTTCTGTTCATACCATATCTGGGTGTTGTCATTTCTGGACAATACATTTTAAGAAGGCTATTGACAGACTGAAGAACTTATAGGAAGGACAAAAGGTGGTAGTGGGTGGTGGTAGTGGTGGGTGATGGCAATGGTGGGTGGTGGCAGTAGTGATGGTGTAGTGGTACTGATGGGGTGCATGAGTGTGTGTGTGTTATGTGTGTGTGATAATAACTATTGCCAAGTATCTGAACAGATTTCATACAAAAGAGGGATCTGAGTTGGGCCTAGATAACAGAACTAGTAGCAAAAATTAGAAAGGCAATGTAGGCTAATTATAAAAGGAAAAAAAATCCTAGCAATTAAAGCTGTCCCCAAGTGGAATGTATTACTTTGGGAAGATAGTGGTTTTATTCTCCCTAAATGATGATGCTTGTAAAAGGCTGATTTATAAAGCACCCCTGTTGAGTTAATGGTTGGACTAGAGGGTCACTGGGATCCTTTGCAACTCTTAGAATATGTGATATTCAGAAATAAATAGGGGAGCTTACAGGCAGCTTGGTGGTGTGGTGGATAGAGCAGTTGTCCTGAAGTCAGGAGGACCTGAGTTCAAATCCAGCCTCAGACCAAACACTTGACACTTACTAGCTGTGTAACTCTGGGCAAGTCACTTAACCCCAATTGCCTTAAATAAATAGGGGAGCTAGATGTTATGGCACATATCTATAATCCCTGCTATTAGGAAGGTAGAGAGTAGCAGATCTTATGAACTCTGAAGTTTTGCCACATAGTGAGCTAAGCTGATTGGGTAACTTCATTAAATGCAATATAGTGAGCACCTAAGAAAGAAGAAGACCACCTTGTTTAAGGTGGAGTTAACTGATTGAACAAGGGAATGGAGCAGGTCTCCTCCTGCTCAGTAGTGGGATTGGGCCCTTGAGAGGCCTCCACACTTCTAGCCTGGGTGAGATAGAAGAAAACAGAGTGAAAGGATGAGAACTAAATGGGAGAAAAGCATATGTGTGTGTATGACACATATATATGATACTTAAATCTCTTGTACTTCAGTCAAATAGAGGCAATGCTTGCACACTCCCTGCTTAAGTAAAGATTATTTTTGGCACAGAAGCAAATAATTACTTGTAACTGCTTATTTTAATAAAAAAAGACTAATTTTAAGGTTACTCTTCCTCCATGTGGATAAAAAGCAAATAGATAATGATACTGTAGCTATTTATAAGTGCCCTAGTTATATTCTTGCCAGATAGAGTGAATACATTTTATATATTTTAATCTTTTAAGTTCACAAATATTTTTATTGGACACCTTTAGTAGTTCTCATACTAATGTATCTTGGAAAATGTTAAGGGGGGAAAAAAACATCTAGCTGTGTCCAGTGAATTTGTCAGCAGCACTACACAAAACCACACCTGAGGCTTCTGATAGAAATGGAGAATTAATTACTGAGCCACTTTCATCAGTCTCTGAAATATTGTTGAGAATGGGTTAGGTGCCATATGACAGAGAAAGGTCAGTGCTTTACTGAAGTTAGTAACAAGGAACTGAAGTTCAGGGTTAATACTATGGCTGCTTATATATATACATATATGTATGTGTGTGTGTGTACATATATATATATATATATATGCACATGCATACATATATACATATACAGATATAATACACACACATATCTGGAGTCATCAGCATTAGAGAGAGGTAAATGCATAGGCTTTGATGAGGACACTGAGGGAGAGTGTGTAGAGAAAAAAGAGAAGGAGACCCATGATGGCACCTTCAGGAATGCTCAGATAGTGTCATGAATAATGAACTAGCCACGGAACCTGAGAATAGGCAGGAAGAGAGATGAGAATAGCTTTGTGAAAGCCCAGAGAAAAGACAGTATTTAGGAGATGGTGAGTAGTCTCAAAGAGTATAGAGAAGTTCAGAAGGATGAGGACTGAGAAAAGACCGTTAGATTTCATAATTCAGCGTTCACTGAAAGTCTCGTGGAGGGCAATTTCTGGTGAGATTGCTGTTAGAATTCTGTCTGAATGCGAAGAGTTGAGAAAAGCAATGAAGGGATGTGGAGGCCACAAGTGTAGAGAGCTTTTTTGCCCCAGGTATTTACCTGTGAAAGTGGAGGGAGTTATAGGACAATAGCTTAAAGGGGCAGTAGAGTCTCTAGTGAGTTTCTCCCCTCACCAAAAGAGATAATGATGACAGTGAAGATAATCTGCTGTAGAAGTTGAAAAGGTGATGGGGTCAAGGGCATATGTACAGGGGGTAAGCATCATTCAGTCTCAGTAATGATGAATTACAACAACCCCTAACTCCTCCTTCCCATTCTTCCATTCTCATCTACCTCAACCCTATAAATGTAGCGGGCAGCTAGATGGTACAGTGGAAAGAACACTGAGCTTGGAATCAGGAAGATCCATCTCCATGAGTTCAAATCTGGCCTCACTCGGACGCTTACTAGCTGTGTGATTTTGATTTGAATTCTTGAAGATGAGCCTTCCTGATTCTAAGTCCAGTACTCTATCCACTGCACCACCTAGCTGGCACCACATGCCCCCCCATCCCCACCCCTGATTGGCAGAATACCAATACGCATCTTCTCCTCCAATTGAATTGATTTACTGAAGTCAGGAGACTGAATCATGATCTTGCTACACTAAGAATCCAAGTGACCTTTCCAAATTGCTGAACTTTAGTGTCCTGCTTTGTTAAATTCGATTGCATGCCCACCTACTGAAAGGTAAGAATGAAAAGATTTGGGAGGAAAATCAAGAATGAAATAGAAGTATGATATATTACTAGGCTACATGAACAGTTTCCCAGGTGAAGACAAATATTCTATATATATGAGGAAGCCTGAATAAGAGTGGAACAAAATTGGGACAGCTAGGTGGTGCAGTGGATAGAGCACTGGCCCAAAGTCAGGAGGACCTGAGTTCAAATCCAGCCTCAGACCAAACACTCGACACTTACTAGCTGTGTGATCTTGGGCAAGTCACTTAACCCCAAATGCCTAAAAAAAAAAAAGAATTGAACAAAATTTAAAAGTATAAAGAGATTATGATTTATATTGCTGGCTCTTTTATTTTATTGGCATGGTGTTGCCTCTGCCAAAAGTTAAGGCTTTTCAATGCTAATAATCTAATTAATATGTGAAATTTCTCTCAGAATAATTAAAATAATTCTAATTGCTAGTATATTTGTATATATGTGTATATCTATACCTATATCTATAGATATACACATATATATGTATGTTGATGTTCAGTCATTTTCGTTCATGTCCAACTCTTCATGACTCCATTTAGTGTTTTCTGGGCAAAGATATTAAAGTGGTTTTCCATTTCCTTCTCTACCTCATTTTATACATGAGGGAATTGAGGCAAACAGGGTTAAGTAACTTGCCCAGGGTCACACAGTTAGTAAGTGTTTGAGGCCAAATTTGAACTAAAAAAGATGAGGCTTTCTCACACCAGGCCCAACACTCTGTCCATTATATCACTTAGGTGCTATATCTGTGTCTATATTTATATCTGTAGACATATATGTGTATATATGTATATATGTCATATATGTGTGTGCATATGCACCTATGCATATGCATATGTATAGATATGTGTACATATGTATTTATGTACATCTATCTATCTATCTATCTATCTATCTATCTATCTATCTATCTATCTATCTTTCTATCTATCTCTTTAAGGTTTACCAAGCACTATTTTCTCATTTGATCCATACAACAGTTCTGGGAGCTAGGTGCTATTATTACGAGGAAACTGAGACATGTGGTGTTTAAGTGACTTGGCGTGGGTCACACTGCTAGTAAGTGCCTGAGACCACCAGGTCAGGAAGAGGTTCTCCTGACCACTGTTGTTATAAAAGATTTGAAGAAAATGATTTGATACCAACTTATTTCTGATATTTTACGGGGCAGGGACAGAGGACTGTAATTTGAATGCAAATTTGATAGAAAACAAAGAAATTATTGAACTGTAATCATGCATGTACTCTGTACTGTCTTACTGAAGATGTTTGCTTACAAACTAGAACTTGGGCTTAGTAACTTAACACTAGGATCTTCCATTCACAGTGTGAGTGAATCTTGCTTTATTTCATGTCTGTATGGGGCTAGAAGCTGTGGCATGGTGTTAGTATTTTTATGTGTCTTTTGAGCTCCTTTTCATGCGGCATTACTTTTGGAATTCCTAGAGTTGAATGCTGTGGTGATTTGGGAGGGTGAGATACATCCAGAACAGTTTTGGGGTGATAAAAGGCTGTCATGTTGAAGGCTTGTTCTTTTTCTGCTGGTTTTGCTGAGTTCCAACATTCTACACATAAGAACATAACCTGAGGCGAGTATTTCTAAATAGCACTGTTTAAAATCTCTTGGTCTAATTTTTTTTTATCCCTTACTCTCAGCTGAAGATAAGACAAAGTGGAAGCCTGATGGATAGTATCTTTCTTTCAGAGGCAGTTAAAGGCAAATCTTATGGATGGCATTTGATTCATATTTAGTTGGGAGGAAGCTTTTGTTTGGGAAAAGTTCTGGTTTTCCAC